GATAAATTGCTCTTTCAGAAATGAAAGACTTTCGAAATAAGGCCAACTGGATTTCCAAGGCAGAGAAGCTGCATCGCCTGAACGACTTTGAGGAATCTTTTTCATCTCCCTACGGAATGTGTCCCGCAGTGATTTCCATTTCAAACTAACAACGTCTCCTATAATACATGTATAAATGCAATTTTAAATCATGGTACTTGGAAGTAATGGCACATTTACGTACGTGTTGATCTCATTTCGACAGCAACTTCATCCCATAATTTGTCCAACACAAAGCGATTATGATGCAGTGGATCTTTTTGATTCCACAAAGCATCTTTTGTGCGAACTGCATTTATAAGGGAGTCAATGTTCATTTTTATGCTGAACTTATTTCAAATCCTTGAGTGAAAAATTTAATAATAACTGACAACTCTTCAATCAATGAAAGAAAAAAGCGACGAAATTTGAATTTCATATTCTCGTCGCTTTACTAAATTTTTGATTTATTGCTTTGCTCGCCACTATGCGCTGCTGTATTTGAAATGCATGTATATTTTTTCGTCGCTCTTATCGTCGCTTTGCTCGTCGCTTTTATCGCCGCTCTACTATATTCTTACCCTTACATATGTCATTTAAGAGAAAACATTTCGTTGTTTACAACCATTCATAAATGGTTAATTTGTCTGGAGAATGGGCACCCTATGTATGTATACTAGTAAAAAGAATAGTCGGACAAGTCGTAATTTAAAATGAAAACATGTTAAAAATTAAAATTTTGCATATACTCTGTAAGATTCCTTTCAGTGATCGGACTTCTACCACATTGTTGTAGATCTGCCACTTTTTTGAGCACACCTACCACACAAGGTCTGAAATCTACCACATATTCGCGTTTTTGAGTAGTTTTATTTTTGCTCAACATAATTTTCTTAATTTTAAGAGCAAAAATTGTCCAACACTAAACACTAACAACAGGCAGAATGGGAGGATAAAATAAACTGTAAAATAGTAAATTTTCTCAATATTCAAATTTTCTACATCAAACATGGTTTTATTGTGTTAAATTGCAAAATATATAATTTATAAAAAGAATTAATAGCGAAAATGATAAAAACCGGCGATTTTGTGAAAGCATTAGCAAATTTCTGTGCATCTCAAATTTCTAAAGCGTTGTTTACTTTTACGTGAGAATTGTCAAAATCGGCAAATCCCAAGCAGCATTTCTGGAACGAGCCACATTTGTTCGCTACATCGTGATGTGATAAAAAGAAAAGCTGGCAGCACTCTGCAATGGTGCAGAAATCTTTCAAAATATGTTCGAAACTTTCAAGGAAAAAAATTGCCAAAACCTAGGCAATTTTTATCAACTTCAATCTTACACTTTATTATACCAAAACTAATTTTGTTTTAGATTCTAAATAAAATGTTTGCAATTTAGGAGAAACCTTGCAG